CACCGCCTTCCTTCCCCTCCCCCTCCCCCTCCCCCTCCCCGTCCCCCCCCCCCCCCCATCTCCTTCCCCTCCCCACCCCCCCCCCCACGCCCCCTCTCTGTCTGTCTCGGTGATCACCATTTCTTGTCCGACCCTCATTGTACAGAGAGCCCTTTGTGGTGGTCCTGCCTGACAGAATGGTCTGTGCTTGCAGTCCCCCCCAGTTGGTGTGGGTTTATATTCTGCCTGCTCAGTGAACTTGTCATGTTCAATACTTTAAATGGAACGTAGCTGTTCAGATGAGTGTGGATGGGATTGAAACGTGGGCTCCCTGAGTACAGCGTTGTAACCTCCCTGTGTCTGACCCTCGCTTTCTCTTTCAGTTTGAGGAGGAGGGTGCGGATGCGCTGCCTCAGCACTCGGTGCCGAGGTACAGCCCTCTGAGGAGACTCGCCTCCTCGGTGTTCTCTTCCTCCTCCCTAGAGACCGAGCACTACCCACAGCCCAGCAACAGCTTTCTCCAGCGTAGCCGCTCAGCGGAAAGCAGCCCAGCCCGACTGCCATCGTCATCTCGGAGACACATGCCTCTTGTCACAGGCAACCACCGACTGATGCCATCTGTCCTCCGTATCTCACGCACACAGCTTCAGCAAGTGTGGGCTCGCTTTGTGTCTAAGAGCTGACACCTTCCCCCTGCCGGGAGGCTGGCCGAATTTCCCCAGTGGGGGGGTGCGGGGGAGGTGAATGGGCTGTGGGGTGGGGGAACCCTGCTCTCAGCAGCCGGGAACAGCAATATTCTGAAGCTGACAGCCCCTTGGGGACCCCACCACCCCACACCCCCACATTGAGCAGTAGCTGCAGAACTGAGGCCAGTGGGTGAATATCTGCATGTTTCAGACACCGAGGAACTGTCAGTCCTTATGCAATGTATAGATTTGAAACCATATATATGTACAGTGATTCAATCCAGTCAGCAAGGTAAGCACACTGGCCTATCAACACTGAGCACAGCACTACAAGTGATCCCTCTACACCTGATCCACAGCACCTCTCCGAGTGATCCCTCTACACCTGATCCATGATCCCATTCCAAGCCTTTGTTACCCCCAGAGAGAGTGGGGGGCCCCGTTAGCCCGGAGGGGGAAGGGGGGCGCGGGGGGTGCCCGTTAGCCCGGAGGGGGAAGGGGGGCGCGGGGGGGTGCCCGTTAGCCCGGAGGGTTGAGGGGGAAGGGGGGCGCGGGGGAGTGCCCGTTAGCCCGGAGGGATCTCTATCCTCAGAAAGTGATTTTACAATCACTGGGACTGTAGGGGCATTCCCCCATGTAATCCCAGCATAATGTCCTTTACTTCAGATTCAATGCACATGGGCCCAGGGACAAAGCCATGCTGTGTGCAGGCATTAACCTGGGTCCCCCTGAAACATGGAGCCTGTCCTGTTTCTAGCAGTGTAGCTGCTATCATGTCAAACCTGTACAGTTCCACACCAGCTGTCTGATCTCCATGCCAGCCCTTTGAGCAAATGCAGGCATTATGTTCCTCATCCAGCCTCACACTGTGCTCAGCTTCAATACCAAAAAGTACAATTTCCTAAACCCGACAGTTACCAAAATGTGTGATAGTTTGCAGCTTTGATGTATTTGGAGAGAGAACTGTAATAGCAGGAACTGGGTCTATTTCTCAGCACTGGCCACGAGGTTCCTATTGCTGGTTTTAAAGAGATGTTAGATACGGGACATCCTGGTGATATCAGGGTGAGTGAGAGAGTGGGGGGTAGTTACAGTCTGGGACGTCCTGGTGATATCAGGGTGCGGGAGGTTGGGGGAGTTACAGTCTGGGACGT